CCCTTATGGATTCATCGTAATTAAAATGTAACTGAACAAAAATGCCACACTTCCACAACGCGGTATCTCCGGACATGCACTGCGTAGGTAGATAGGTACCAACCAAACATTTTAAAACGCATTTCGCTTATTACCAGTTTTTTTAGTCTATTTTGCCACTATTGGTGTAATTTAACTTTAATGATACAATGGGCACTGTAAAAGTTACACTACAAAATACACTAAAGTGTATTTTGTAGTGTAACTTTTACACTTACAAATCAACTCTAATATTTTTACCCCTAAAGTAAAAAATTTACACGGGCAACATTTTTTACTGTGTAGTGCTGAAGTTAAAACTACATCAAGGGAGAATTAAAAGAGACAGCAGGAAGAAAAAAGTCTTTTGTATTATTAATTTTTCTTTTAAATACTTTTAATTATGCGCGATAATTTTTTATACAAAAAAAATGCAAAGCATTCTGTTTATTGGCTAAAATTTTAGCATGGATTTTAGGATTAATTTGGTGTATAATCATGTATGCAATTTTCTTGTTTAATAATTTTCATGTTAATTACATTGTCCAGACTCTGCACTGCATTATTAATGGAGTAGGATAGCGTGCCTGCAAAAGTTTAGTGTTCAGTAAAAAAGTCGACTACTTGCATGATGATTTAATTTGGTTATATTTTATAATTCAGTCCGTGGTTAAAATTCAACATTTAAAAATACTTGAAAAAGCAAAACCAGGTAACAATAAAAGGCCCTCCAATCTAATTTCAAATGACACTGGACCACAAAGCCATATTTTATGATTTGATCAATAAATGAAAAAAATAGTCCTCAATGTTTGCACGAAATTATTTTTAAAAATAAATAATATTTTATTTTTATTACACAAAATTAATTAATACAGCGTTTTTAGCCTGATAAAAAACGCTGTTTGTTGATGTAAGTTAAAATATGAAATTCCAAATTAATCCATCCAGTCTATTATTTTCACTAAGTGGCAAGATTGAAATTTTAGAACGGAATGAAAGAAAAAGTTAAATACAATTTAAAAAAGTAAACTTTTATAAACTGATTAAAACGAAACTGAACTTTTATAATTAATACTTTTTAAGTCAACAAGCTTAAATCAAGAACAAAACAGGTTGTTTTAAAGCTTTTTTTAATTTTTAGCTAAAAATAAGACTTTTTTAATTACAAATTAAATTTTAAATGTAATTTTTTTTTTAAACTTTCTGTAATTCGGAAATTATTCTCAAAATTTTTATGAGTGTATTTATAGTGTGTTATAAAAATCAGATTTGTTAACATGAGTTTAATAATTTTATTTTGTAATATTTTAACATAATTTTTTGTAGAAATAAAAGAATATTCTACTGAAAGTTTTGTAAAGGTAATATGCAGTTTAATAGGCATTTTGTTAATTTCAAAGGTTACAGATTATTTTGTTAAGGTTTAACAAATTATTTCGTTGAAAAAGTACAAGTGATTTTATGCCTATAGGCAGTTAATCAGAACATTTCCCACTGACAATACGCATCATCAAGTTCAACTAACTTCAGCGTCTGCAACTTATGTTTCTGCTTACTTTATTATAATTCGTGTTCGTAGCAACTGTCCAGAGTGTTTATAATATATAACCAGAAATCTGTTATTATTGTTATTTGGATTTCTCATACCTATTTAACGAGTGTGCGAAGTATCCGAAAAAAGATGCCATAACTGAAAGTAGGGGATACAGTAAAGTGGGTTAAAGTTACGAAATACATCAGTAAGTTTTGTAGTAGTATATTGTACCAAATTACTTCATATTTTGATGATTTCAGAATGGTGTGTATGTTATTTTTGTGTGCATTTGTGTAGGTAATTTTTTTTAGTAAATTAATTAATAAAGCAACATTTCTTATTGAAATTCTTTTCATTGAAGTTTCCAATTTCCAACAAATACTTTTTTTTTCAAGCGGCCATGATATACAACCTTATATGCCTGTATAGAGATAGTTGAAGTGCGTCTTTTTCATTAGCGGCAGACAAAAAACTCAAAAAAGCCTAGGGATAGAAGTAAATCCATAATTGTCTCAATAGACGTCAAATAATAAAATTAATTTAGCATTTCATAAAAAGCAATCACGATGTATTAATTATATTAATTATAATCGCACGGAATATTTAGTGATTATTTATTAAATTTTAATGTCAGAACTCCAAACAAATGTCAGTAGTACTGACATTTGTTTGGAGTTCTGACATTAAAATTTAATAAATAATCACTAAATATTCCGTGCGATTATAATTAATATAATTAATACATCGTGATTGCTCAGTACGTCAAAATTAATTCAAGCGCACTGTTTATTTTTTTAGGATATTCATCGGCATACGTTTTTTAGTTTTTATCAATAATTTCTAATGCTTTTAGCCAAAATTTTATCCCACATGCATGTGGGATAAAATTTTGGCTAAAAGCATTAGAAAGTATTGAAAAAAACTAAAAGTTATGAGTAAATACAATAATTCTATTGCTTATCCTATTTATATTACGCCCTTAAAAAAAATGTAAATGTTATTTGGAGTAGAATTTCTTTTTGTGCTTCGTACAGTTGCCTGCCTCAGCTACGCTTCGGCCGTCAATCTCTGTACTCACCACAAAAAGAGCCACTTCTACTCCTTAGGATATAATCTACTATTTGTTACTGGGTCTACAAAAAGGTTTCTAAAAATAAGGTAATTTTTTAAAATTACAAGAATTATAGTGGAATTATAATAATTGATATATAGGATTTTGTTGTTAATCTACAAAATTACAAATTACAGTTGGTTGTAAACTTAACCTAAAGTTATGTGGAATTGGATTAACATAAAATATGGTTAAATTTGGTTAAAATTAATAAATATTTTTTATTGTGTATATTGTAATGTTTGAGAATCGTGGATAGGGCAACAAATTTTTGCTCTATGTAAATACAAAAATAGAAATAGTGGATATGCTATTATCCTTTTAAACGGTGATAATAAAACCTGAATTTATTGAGAATCAAATCTTTAGTATTAACTAAACTTCGATTAAGCTTTTAGTGGTTTTGTCGTTATTAAATATCTTCTATAGAAGAAGCGTATACGCTTCAATTTACCCGTTTAACAGTTAATTACGTGTTCATTATATATTGATAGGCGAATTTTATTGACATATTAACCTAGGAAAATTTATATTTAAAGTTGGTATAACCTACATCCTGCCAACTTTGATACCACTAGGAGTTTATAAGGCATTCAGTAAGTTTTCCAGCAAAGTAACAGTATCATGTTTATTATTTGTCTTGTTTGTATAAAGCTTTTAAAGACGCATTAGTAAAACAATATTTAATAAATAAAGAGTAATATCAACTTTCCTAAATTCATTGTCCAGACTTTTCTTAAATTCCTCATCTGCATTTTTTTATTTGAATAAGAAACAAAGTGGGGTATTGCAACTAGGGTTGGGAAAATTTAACTTTTTGCTTGTACTTGAAATTTCACTTGAAATTTTCATGACATTTATGAAATCTATTAAAATTTCCTAAATTTCTGAAATTTCATGAAATTTAAGATATTTTTGAAATTTATTGAAACTTTCAACAAATTTCAATCACTTTAAGTGTAATATATTAATATTGAAGTAAGCCCACTCAGGGACCATGGCAAATTGCCTCTCTTACCTCCTACCCCTCTGTGGGCCCCTGACCACCAATAATATAAATAGTAAATACCTATGTTTACCACAAATTTTTTGAGATTTCCTTTTAAAATTTTTTTAAAATTACTAAAACTAAGAGAAATATAGCACTTTTTGGTAAGCTAACGAGATTGTGCCACTTTCATTGTTTTATATTTATATATATTATTTTTATATATTTTACTGAAATTTTACGAAAATTGAAGAAACTTTGGCATTTTTTATCCGTTTTTCGATGCAATTATAGCAAAAGTAAGTTTAAATTAATCATGACTTTTAAAAAAAATTTAAGTCTGATTTAATTTACAAATTAAATTGGTAACTGAATTAAATTATTTAAATTAATTTATGCATATAAGTAACAATAATTACTTATAGTGTATTCAAATCCAAGGCGAACTAAACAAAAACGCCCAGAGGCTTCATAACTCGTTCTTATTGGTCGATTTGGAATGTGTTGTAAATTATTATTAAAGGTCCCAGGGGAGGCCGCATGTGAAATTTATGCGAAATTTTCAGTAAATTGCGAAACTTTCAATGAAATTTCTGAAAGTTTCACAGGCAATGTTAAAATTTTCGGATTGAAAATTTCATTTGAAATTTTTAAAAATTTAACTTTTCCAACTAAATGAAATATTTCAAGTTTGAAACTTTCAAAGTTGAAATTTTCATTTGAAAATTTCAACTGTTACAACAATTATTGCAACCCTTCGAACTTCTGAACTTCCACTGAACCACTCTGTATTAACAAGTTTGACATTTTAAAAGTAGCGAATCATGCAAGAACATTTTTTTAATTCAAAATGGCTGCTGTCCAGTGTATTACTGGGGGTGTAATGTGTTTTACTTTATATTTTATTAAAAAAACAATTTACATTTTCTCATGATACTAATTTGTTTATTTCTAAACTCAAACAAATGCATTATTATTTTTAATCTGCTAAAACAAGGAACGGATTATTCCGTCGTTTTCCTCTTTGTAACTTTAGGGTCGGCACAATCTACCCGTTCCCGAATAAAATAATTACATTGTATGTCTCGAAGGCATTCTCGAGCAACACGTTGCTGTTTTGTTTTTACGTACTACGCCCGACTGAACTGGATAATAACAGTCCATTTTCAAAAAGGGACAATGCGTCTGAACGTATTACCTACCCATTATCCGAATGGTTGCTTTGGGGTTTAGGTTCTTTATACTTTGGTTTAAAACGGGTTTAAATATCCAAACAAAATCCAATGTACTATAATTATTTCTGCCCAAAAATGCTGAAATAAATACATTGTTTTATTTTGTTTCAGGGTTCTTCACAAGAGGATTTCATTTTATATCAAAATTTCAAAACTATGCAGGATATTTTTTTGCCAAGATGCTACTTAACAACATATGAAATGTGTTGATTGTGTAGTAATTATAAGACTTTAAAATGAACGAGACGGACAGCAAAAGGATATGCGATGAGAAAAACAACAATACCTTTTTGGATGGTAAGAATTTTTTGGTTTCGCGTAAAAATCGAACAAATTTTGGATATTTGTTTGCAAGTGATGCCAGAATTGAATATATTTTTTTAACATTGTTCCTACATCTATAGATACGTTTTTAAATAAAAGTGTTATTACAAAATATCGAAATTTATATATTTTTAACACAGTACATTTTTTTAAATGTACCATTTATAAATGGTACATTACAAAATATCGAAATATTTTTTAATAACACTTTTATTTAAAAACGTGTCTATTTGAAATGAAGATAAAATGTAGACCTTATTAGTGGCAATAAATCCAGGTATTTTTTTTAGATTTTAACATACTGGGGGCGCTGGGGACAATTTAATTTAAAATTTTACCATTTTTTAAGGGTTAAAAAGTCGAAGAAGCAACGTTGTTTTATAATTTTGAGTATATGACGTTAGTATTGAAAATTAACTATTATTTGATATATAAACTTCTACATGCAAATTATGTATATATGAGAGAGACCATTTTTAAGTTAGGAGCATAATACTAACGTGTTTTACAAATTATATATTCTTTTATCTAGTTTTATAAGATAATCTATTATATATATATTATATATTAAACATTATATATTACATAAAATATATTATAACATACAATTCTTCAATCGATATAGATGAAGCTAAAATTAGTTTTATTTATAAATTTTGAATTTTTTCAAGTTTACTAATTTTGATCATAGTAGGCATCATAGACTTCTCTTTATGGTAACCTACCATTGGAAGCATGAAAGATAATTTGACAGTTCAGTTTATAAGTTACAAATGACTGATTGCGTTTCAATTTATAAGTGTACTATAAACTCAAAACATTAATTTATTAAAATGAATAAACTAAATAATAATTATAGACAGTGTCAGGAAGTTAGAAAATATAACATACTTTAATTTTATTTTATTTTTTGCTCCACAACGAAGCTTCAATTTATTTTTTACTCGATAAGCAAGCTTGAATTTTAATTCCAAACTAAGGAAAGTAATATTTACCCAATAAATAAATTAGAATAAAGACTTTATTTTTTATGTTGCAATCGGATATTTAGATATATCTATATTTTTTATGCAGATGTTTTTCGATTTTTTGTAATTAGTTATTTTGCATTTTTTATATTTAATTTAATGCAATACAGGGTGTTTCTGCAGACAGGCAATCGATATGGATTTGAAATTTTAATAGCAAATACAATTTGATTTAGACTATACCTAAAGTTAAAAGTTTTCAAGATATTATTTTTTTTCGTTAAAATTTTGCTGAATGCACGTTAATCAAAAAAGCCTCTTATTTTTTCGTTATTATGTTTGCTGACATGGAGATTAAAACATTGTTTAAATAATTTATTTTTTTAAAGGTTTTACTTTGAGAAAAACCACTTGCAATTAGGTAAACTTAAAACAATAATAATGTTTTTATTAGAAATGTAAAACCCTGTGTGTTTTAACATAATCAAATAGAACATTAAAGAATCTTTCGATTGGTATTATAATAACCTAAAGTTAAAATTTCAGAGACATTTAACAATTTCTAATATTTTCAACACTATTTTGTATTAAAAAAACTGTGAAATTCTACATGGGGTTTAATGTGACAGTATCCATGGTTACCACCAAATCTGTCATTGTTTAAAATTAATTAAAATATTTTATTAAAAAATGAATAACTTAAAAAATATTGACTTTAGGTATAGGATATGGTATAGCCATTTTACTCAGAATTTTATAAAGAATTAAAAAATGTAAAAATATATGAGGTGTCCTGTTTAAAATAACAAAGCTAAAGACATTTCCGGTAAAACAGGAAGTATTCTTTTGTTCAAAATAATTTAGGAAAAAAGTCTAAATCGAATAATTTACGCTATTAAAATTTTAAATCGATTCCCTAGAACTTGTAACGGACTATGTACGTGAAATACCCTGTATATTAAACGTCATTTATGTGTTATGCTATACTTAATTTTTAATAAAAGATACAATAATATTTGTATAAAAATGACAAAATGTACTAAACTAAACATTTATGAATACATTTAGATGTGGAAATAAGGTAAAAAAGTTTCTTGAACCCTTGCAAAACGACCGTTCGATCCTTTCGCGAAACCGTAATTAAATGGTTATTGTTATTTTATATTTTTTAGCACCATTCTGTAAAATATATTGTGAATACTTTTTTCTACCCCATTTTAAAATTCCAAATAAACAGGAACGCTTTATAAAATGAGAAAAATAAAAAAAAAATAAATTTATAGATTCATACTAAAATGTAGTCCTATTTAATTAACAAGCAACACCACTTTTTAAATTTATTATTATTATTATTATTTAAAACTTATTTAAATATGTACATATTCTACGACCAATTTATATTTTTGTTCAAATAAAATCAATGAATTTAATCGTTTGAAAAGTCTTATTTTCATTTAAATTTCCATTAAATAAAATAATTAATTATGCATATTCAGGCAAAAAACAATAATTGTTAAGTGTGTTTGTTTAATGGAAATATAATAAAGTCTAATTAAAAATAATCATATAAAATTAACGTTTTATTTAACATACACACATTTAACATGTGTTTACCTACATTTGCAACGCTATTGACCATTGACAATAATTTAAGTTAAAATGAGGTAATAAAATTTCTATTTGTTAATTAAATTTTGTAATACATTTTTGCTGCCAATCGAAGATAAGTTACAATCCATTTGCTTTACTATTTCACTTACACTGTATTTTTAAATGAATCTAACAATTTTTATTTTGCACAATAAACAACCATTGTATTTACAAGCAAATATAATTTATAAACTATTTCAGTATGTAAAAATATAAAATGAATATATAATAATAGGAGTTAAACACGATAATATTCAGTTCTAATAACATAGGTTTAATATTATTTGGTGTAAATAAATAAATAAACTTATATACAAATTTGTTACCCGTTTGATATAACAAATTCTTCATCAGGTTTATAAAATATTTTTAATAAAATCTAAAACTTATTAACAAACTCAAACATTAAAATTTTTGTTGTGCCTTTTAATGTAAAAACAGCTTTTCACAGATCTTTGAGCCGTGAAAATTTAATTATTAATTAAATTGAAAAACTCTTTCGTTGGGTGTTTTTCTTGCCAAACTTTACTTATAACGTTAGATGTAAAAAAATTATTTTATCGCTATCTTTTGTCTGGTTTAAATAAAAAATTAAGTCAAAAGGTCGAAAATTATGAGATTTAAGTTTATTTTTTTATTTATAGAAATTGTTACATATAATAACAAAATAATAATAAATGTTATTTATAGTTATAAATGCACTTAAATCTAGTTTGACTAAAAATAGATTTTAAATTTTAAGTAGGCAGGATACTGAGAATTAAAAGCAATTAAAAAATATCAAGTAAACCCAAGCCATAAGGATAATAAGTGCAATCAATTTAATATTAAATTCTTACCAGGATCCTGAGAACGACTGAGCGTTGTCCTGATTAATAATTATTATTTTTTTTAATAATGTTTTCATGGTTACCCTTTTTAATCCCCCCCAAAATACTATCTAGGATACTGAGGATTAGGCACTTTGAAAAGTATTTTCGACAAGAAAATAATTTTAGATCTCAATAATTTTACGTTTACTACTAGAAACGATTAGATTAACAGTTAAAAATATAAATTATTTCAGTTAAAAATATAAACCTATTTCATTAATTAATTTTTATATTGTTTTGCTAATTTGCTAAGCGCAATTCAAATGTGTTTTAAATTATTGACATTAGATCCAGAGAAGTTCATGATCATTGCTATGTTATAAGTAAAACAAAAGAAGCCTGAAAACTAAATCGATTTTAATTACTATGGGTTTGTGACAAAAACAGCTTTTATTGCCTTCCCGTGGAAACAGTTTAAAATATACACTCACCGGCAAAAAAACGGTTACTTTTTTAATCCTGATTTTCTTTATATAGTTGTAAAGTTCGGACAGCCTTGCACACAGATAAAATATATTAATTGACGCTATTAATTAAAATTATCAAATAAGTGACATTGTAGGTATTTCCACATTTATTTTACGAAGCGATTATTTGAAATTTTATTTGCGCTTGCGGTGAAATAGAGGGTCATAAAATAAGCCAATACAAAATTCCAAAAGTTATCGTAAATTTCATACTTTGCTACACTTTAATAACAAGTGTACATATATGGGTCATTCCATCAAATATTTTTTAAAATACCAAAAATAGTCTTTTGAAGGAAAAAACGTATCGTTATCGGACGAAAACCATCAAGGTTATTAGGTACAGTATTTTTTGACATTATTTTTATATTAGTATACTTAATATCCTTTACAACGGTTGTCCGATGTCGATAACAATTTCTGTTCGAAAGATAAGAAGGGCGCACTGTATATACTCGTATTCCTAAAGTTCCTTTAAAGTACATAAAATATCGATTAAAATAAATATGTTTAGTTTTTGGATTATGTTGAGTATACTGAAATAACAAAAACTATTGATTTTCTCGCATTATTTGTTTACCAGAATTAGAAAGGATGTTTTGATTGTAAATATTTAATAAAGACCCAAAAATAGTAAAGTAAAGAATTATAATTGATATAGCTGTATACTACACTGCCCGTCAAAATAAACTCATAATAAGTAAAAAAACTCTAAAACGCCTTTACCAATCTTTATGATATTTTGTATAAAAATACTTCAACTTATATCTCAGTTTACGTGTTCGAGGGTTTTTCGAGAAAATATTTTTAAAGCTCTTTTATTTAATAATTAAAAAACGCCGATTTTTGTTCGCCCCCAGCAACTGCACGGCTTCACCCGTGTTTGCTGGGTGCGAATGTGCGTTCCGTACTGTCCCCTATTTGGGGCTCGATAGCGACATGCGAATAGTTTTAATAGCCATTCTCGGGTTCGGCGAGCCGATGCTATACGCCCAGTAGACGTTTGTTGGTTTTTG